CTTCTTTGCCCCTCTTTGCCCCGTCACGCGAAGTCCCCCCTTCCACCGGCCCCTCTGCCACTCAACCCACCCCCTCCGATACGGCTTTATATCCTAGCATATCTCCATCTGCCTCTTTCTTTTTCTCTCATCCTGGTTCATCTTGGTCTCACCAAGAATGACCATCCCACTCGCACGACCTGTTCTCCGTTCTTTCCCGCAATTGTGGCCTCTACTTCCCTTTCCCGCCTGTAAAATCCCCCTCTTCACCTCTTACACCCCCTTGCCTCTTTAAATCTACCCGTTTATTCTCTCCCCTCTTCCACCACCGCCCCCCCCCCAAATCACCCCTCACCACTCCTCTCACCCGTTGGCTCTCTCTTCTCTTGCGTTCGCGCGCAACCCAACGATTTCTCGTGGACGTACAGAAACACCGCTCGTACCACCAGCAGAGTTGTAGATATGTTATTCAGGGCCCTGAAAAAAGGTTTTTTCGTTTTTGGAAAGAAAAAAAAGTTGAAAAAATGACAATTTTTCCAGGGGAACGATGAAAAACCTGTGGGCAGACCTATCAGGGATGAATCATCGTTATCACAAATTAACAACTGGCGGATGATAATGGTTAATGGATGATAACCGTGATGTATTTTTTTTTTTTTTCAGTGCTGAAAAATATATAACGACGGGGGGCTGATGGTATCGATAGAATTCCGATGAGCGAGTAATAATTGACGGATTGGGTGTGTAAAAAAAAAATTCAAGACAGAATGGTGTATACACCCCTGCGAGAGTAAATTCCCACCCACCATTCTTGTGCGACAGGGTCACACTCACGTGTACAGAGGAATTGGTGATGTAGTTGAGTACATACACACGGCCATTGCTGTACGATTTGCCCTCCCCCCTTCGCCCCATTTCTAAACACACCCATACAAGTGCCCCTGGGAGGGGGGCTGGGGTCGAGGGGGGTAGGGGATGGGATCACGAAGTGCTCACGCATCGTACACCCGCGCCATTTTGTTTATGTATTGGAGCTCATCCCTCACACATTAAAATCATTCCCGCCCGTGTGTTACGTACGTTTGAATGTTGCCCTGTGTTGGTGCGAGATTGACCGGAGATTGCCGAGTGGTGCGGGCGGGCAATGTACAGTGTCTAGGTGTTGGTTACCGATGTTCGACGATTGTAGCCGAGGCTCGACGAAGCGTTAAGCCGAGCCAAGCCGAAGGCAACTGTAGGCACGGCCGAGAGCAGTGCGGCCGAATCTGGTACCGCGAATGGATTACTCCAATGTTTCTCGTGTCGAATTTTTTTTTCATTTGTGTTTGCATTTAGATCGCAACACCACGGGATACGGCAAAACTCGCACTCGATCCGAGTGAATATATATTCGATACAGTGATATACCAGTGATTGTTTTTTTTCATGTGCACGCAGTACGATGGGGAGTTATTTAATCGTTTGGTGGGTGGAGTGGTAATTTTTCTGGATTTTTAGGCAATTTTTCCGTTTTTTTTTGGGGGGGGGGGGTTTACACGGTTTTACTGGGGTGCGGGTTGAGACACCTCGAGACCAGTTTGAATGATTATTGTTATTTTTTTTTATTATTGTCATCATTGGGAACAACGAAAACATAGCGCGACGGCTGTTACAATGGCTCGCCGTCGCGAGGGGAACGGATGGTGCATGAAAGGCTAGGAATTCTTTTCAGACGTGAAAGCCCCAAATAACGGTGAGAAAAAAAATCTTGTGAACTCGACTGTAATCATGTTGTGACTGGAGAATTCTCCTGTGGGATTGCTGTTAGTGATATCACGAGGGGGTTTTATGGTGTGATTGGCGGAATCGAGTCGGTGATTGTCGTGAACAGGTGAAGTTCAGTGTTTCAACGATTTTTCAGTATAAATAAGCATTTTTTTGAGTGGTGAATATGAAGTGGTAGATGCACTGGGCATTGAGTCAGTGTTATTTTCATTTGATGATATTTTTGTGATAAGAGAACCGGACGTCGGAACCGGGAGTTTCGTGTGTGGTGTTGTCAGGCGTTTTTTTAAAAAAAAAACGTCTCTGAGATTGAAAAATCGTAATAAAAAAAAGGGGAAGAGGATTATATCGTCCTTTTGCACGGGAGTTTTACCCGGCCCCGAGGATGAGCGTGGGAGGACTGTTGTGCGACTTTTGAGTCGTTGGGAGAATTTGTACTGCTTTGGAAGCAATTTTTTTTTTTCACTTTCGTCCTCTCTCAGTTGAGAGGGTCATCCTCTTCAGAACGGTAAATTCTTCAGGTATAAGTGAAGAGACAAAAAGAGTCCGGGGGATAGACGAGTTTGGTGAAGTAGCACTGGGTATTTAGGAAGTAAATACAACAGTGTTTCAAGGATGCAAGTGGCAACGCTGTTCAGGGAAAGCGCAACCCTGCTGGGGGCATCCAGTCTTGATCCCCCCCAGGCCCACCATCAGGCCCTTCAGCAACAACAACAGCAGATACAGCATCATCAACAAATGCAGCAGCAGAGTGCTGAGATGCATCTGCACATGCAGAATCATTACAAAATGTGAGTCGTTGTTTCCTTTTGATGACAGTTGCCATTTTTTATTTATTTTTTTAAGATTTTTTGAGCAGAGGTAAAAGGAGTTTTTCGGGAAATACATCTCTGAAACTAAGAGGAATCAAATTTTTCGAGGAAAATCTGGATATCTCTTAGTTTTTGAGGTATCCTTGGAAAAACCGCTTTTTACTAATTTGCTGTATCGAATTTTCTATTTTTATGATAAAATTGATTTATGATATTTTCTTCTACATTTCTGATGATTTCCTACGATTTAGTGATTTTGTTCAAAGAACTTCCACCCAACGATTTACTTATTGTTTATTCGATTATTAAATTCAATAAAAATTAAGCGAAGGTCTTCTGAATAAAATAACAATCTACCGGAATTTCCAGGGAACAAGTGCCTAAAGATTCGCTAGATGCCTGAAATTCCCACAAATTTCCATTTTATTCCGATGTTGTAGTACCTCAAGAATGTCCACAGAAGATCAAAAATCAGACATTCTTGTTCGCTGTGTTAATCCATTTCCATAATCCCCACGTGATTTCCATAGTTGCTAGCCCTCTGTTTCGGTCCCAGAGAATGCTCATTCGTTAATAGTTAATTAATGCAAATTTGACGAGTCTTTTTGGACTGAACTTTCACCTTTGCAGTGACCCACTCGTTGTATATTATCAAAAATCTATTGATTCAAGTTCAATATTACAATTCATCAATAATCCGTACGGATAATGAGTCATTCGGTGTATTAATTTTTCTTAGTTAGTTAGTTAGTAGACAGGGCCTAATTAATTGTTAAAAAGACGGGATGATCGGGACAAAGATGTTGCAAAATACCGTCTCCTTTTCGCTTTTATTCTAGGCAGGTAAATTTATAAAAGAATAAAAAAAAACAAGTTGCACGCTATTTCTCACGACCGCGTGACTCACCTACACCGCAAGTCCCCATGATGTAACACATCGGCTGACTGAAATGAAATGGTCGTGCGAATTCAACGAGGGGGGAAAATACAATTGTTGAAAAAGGAGTTTTAGATTTGCCAACTGGTTTTCCACCAAGTTCATTTCGATTGGGGAATCCGCAGTCACGTACATGTTTCCGATAGTGAAATCTATCACTGTCGTCACCGCAGTAGGAAAAAAACTCAAACGTGTCTCATTCACGCCCAATTAATAATTAATTAAAAATCCGGAAAAAACATTTTTTACGTTCAAACAGGTCATGCCATTGAGATATAAAAACAATTTTGTTTTTCTCACAAAAATCACATGAGTTTAAAAATAGACATCATTGTCTCATTAATTATGTTGTTATTATTTTTGAATTGGAACTTACTTTGTTGTTTCGATTATTTATTATGTCATGTGATTTGAGGATAAAGAATTATTTTTTTGATGGATTTTCCTCTAGAAAAGATTGTTATAATCAAATATTTTGTTGAGGGTAGAAATTTTATTCACGTTTGGAACATTTTGACATTTCATGGGAATAAATAATTTTTCTTTATTTAACAAACGACTGGCAGATCCAGAATTGTTTGAGATGTTGATTTTTCTCCTAGTATTGATGATGATTCCGAGGGTTAACGAGGGGTAAAAGTTTCCACAAATATCGAATGGGAGTATCTGTCGACGTTTAATTGGTATACGGTTATGAACGAGCCACGTGTTGATTATCCGGCCTAAACTACCCATATTGTTGTATCTAGGTTGTGGTACTCGCTATTACAATTGCATATAAACGGGAATGGTGATTCAATTTGCTTTATGAGTTATAAAATTATCAAGTTCAATGTGACGTATCTTATTATCGATGTTCCATCCGCACTGAAATAATTGCACTGAGATAGAAAAAAAATGTTTGACAAAGAACCTCTCCACATCTGATTATTTAACAGTCATAAATTTATAAAAATGATAATAACAAAAATTCAGAAATTCATCGAAGTTCTTCATTTTCAATTCCATATGTCATTCTGGATAAAACTAAAGTTCGAAATCACTATTTTAACTGAATAATGAATAATAAATGAATTATAATAAATTATTTTAGTAAGAATTATCGTGGAGGCAGTAATCCCTTGATATAAATCGTTGGTTCGAGTTGGTTTTTCGGATTTTGTTATATTGTGTTCGATTTATCCTTGAACTTGAGGAGTTTGAGATGGAGTAGAAAAAAGGAAAATATATCTGATTGGTAGTGTTCGCTTTCATTGGCGACGGCTTTCTTCTTCCCAACTGATTCGTACTCTTTTTTACTGGAGAAACGAAAACATTTGTCCGACACAGTGGCACCTCCAGCCCTTCTACCTTTTTTACTTGTTCTTGTGATTGAGCAACGCGCGCATCCATTGACGATAAAATTTTTTTTTCTTCAAACCTCGGGTTTTTTAACTTCTCTTTGGTTTATGGAAGGAGAATAGTAGCACAAGGTCAGGAGCTTTGTGTTGGCTCTAGGGAAATTGTTCCAGAGAAAGATTTACTTCGATTTCGAGTCTATCCTGCGGATGGTTACAGTATTTATTATTCATGAGGGTGTAATAAATTATATCAGGATGAATAACAGGATAAATCGATTCAATAAAGCAGAGGAACGATTCAAGTCGATTCAGCCTGAGAATTTCCTCAAGTAATCGTTTCTACTTCGGGATTTCAGGAATATGTCTCGATCTATCAAAGATACCAAAATTTGTGTAATGAACTTTATTCTAGAGGACATTGAGATCTATAAAAAAGGTCCTTACAAAAATTTCATTATCTGGCGCAGATTCTGAGTTATTGCTCAAAAACTCATCAATTAATTCAATTAGATCAATTCAGGTACAAAGCATCGATTTCGGGGAGGATTAGGACAAAGGACGTAAGTTTCAGGTGACTCTTGATTTCCAGGTCTCGGTCAGGGTCTGAGTTGCTCCAGGTCGTTATGGAGAATTTCCTATAAAAAAAAGTCATCGAATGCACATCTTCATCGAGTTTTGCTCCACGGGATTCCTAAGAAACAATGGAAATATATAGTCTTTACATTCTGAACAATTCTAATGGTTGTAAAGTTTATCCCCAACCTGTGGTTTGAATTCTAGCGTCGTTCCACCTTGGATGTTTTTTTTTTCTCTTTTTTATGCACTGGAGAACTGTTGAGGGCTAGTCTTCGAGGGAGAATCCAGTGGGGGCGGTGAAGGTAGATAGGAACATGGGGAAGAACAAGAAGTGAGAGAATGAAAAATAGAGATAAAAAAAAAGGGCCAAGAGAGAGAAGGAGAGACGTCAGACAAGTTCACTCTAGGCATCTCCAACACTGCAGTTTCGTAATCCTCGTTCTTTACCCCTTCAGTATTATTTCCACTCTCATATTCGTTGGTCTACCCTTCCTATCACCACCTCACTACATTCGATTGGAAAAAAATCGCCAATAATTTAAAATAGCAGAATCCCAATCAACAGACGGAGTAATTCAATAAAAAGATTACCCGAAGATTTGTTGTAACTTTTCTGTGAGTTTTTGGGGAATATCTCCGAAAATACGAGGGATGGGGAAAATTTCATCATCACCTTTTTTGTAGAGCTCATTGATAGCTGGAAATAAAGTTATTAGGAAAATTTCCGTATTTTTATTAGTTACGGAGATATTTGTATCTTTTTTCGGCTCCGAATGTGATAGTGATAGAATATACAATAAAATAAAATGAGCCTTTGTTTTTGTTTTAATCGACGTCACTGTTCTTCATTTCGGAGAAATTTGAATTACAATTTGAAAAACAAAACAATGAAACATTTAAAATTGGTTTCCACTGTTTTTAAAAAATTTAATTATTCCAAAAAATAGATAACTCCAAAAATTGTGGAAAAATAATTTGAAAAAATGATGACAATTTCCTTGAACTTGCATTATAGTGCTATTTTCGTTAAAATAAATAATATTGGTGGAAAAATAGAAGGAGAGGGTGGGGGTAGATTAACTGATATGAAGGTGCATGGAAAAAGTGAAAGAAAATAAGGATTGGAGGAGACGTTTCTCTTGGGCGAAGGCTAGGAGTTGGGGCTGAAAACTCGGTCAAAGTCTCGACGCGTCACCTCTTCCCGCTCTGGGAATTCGAAGGGTCTCTTCCCACCCTCGTTCCTCCTCAATTCCAGTTATAAAACTGTCTCACTCCAAGTTGAATCTGAAACTCCGAGGTACTTGAGTATAATGTTTCATCTCCGTCAGTTTTCTCCCTCCAGATGAATTCGCCACGGTCAACAGCCCCTGCCTATCTCTGTCCCTTTTCCCAGTTCTTTTTTTTTTTATATTCCCTTTATGTCGCTTCTTTATGAATCCAGGGATGGGGTCATTCATGTTGGGCTTTTTTATCCCCCAAGTTCAAAGTTCCTTCAAAGTATGTTTCTCTTGTTGTGGTATTTTTTTTTTTTACGTCGTTTAGAAAAATGTGTTTACATTTTTCTCCCCCTTTGGAGATAGTCGTAGGTCAGGAGAAGAGTCAGAAGGGGAAGACATAAATGGGTTATCGTAATATTTAGTTTTGATCTGATGGTGAATCGGTGTTGCCGTGAGGGAGAAGTTGGGGCGCCAGTTCGTGATCAATTTGTTTTCATTGAAGTCTTGAAGAGCTGGAGTAGTTGTGGAATTTCAAGGGAGATAAATTTTAGTAGTTATTTCACGTTCGTCGAAAATTTATCTGCATTTTGGTAATGACAAATCTCAATTGTCTAATAGGATTCGCATTTTCGGGCTTGCACTGGGAAAAATTATTATGTCTGCCAATTAAATTCACGAGTGCCAAAGAAATTTTGTTGAGACAAGAATTTTGGGGTCTCAAGGATATTTATTTGGCAGAAATCATTTTTTCTCAATAATTTTTCAATTAACACATTCAGCGGATTATGTCACTACATTTTTTATCCGTCTTTATAAATCACTCGTATGAATTAATTCAATATTTTCAGTAATTATAGAAAAAAAATTGATTACTACTGTCAGATTGTTATTTTCTATTATGAAACAAAA